TGGGTGGGTGGGTGGCGGTTGGACACGCTGATGGACCCTCGTGGCTGCATGCATCTTTCCATTCGGTCAGAAGCTGCATCGTTTCCGTTCCAAGGTGCTCAGCACTGACGCCGTCGAGACCTACTACCACAACCTGCCGCCCAAGCCCAAGTACCGCTGGCAGCGAACCGTCAAGGCCTCCACGGACCTCCACCTCCACCTCCCCTTCACCGGCAATGGGGAGGCCCTCGCCGACTGCCGCGACACGGTGCAAGTGTGCTGCCGACAGGCCAACAAGGTCACCCTCGACGCATGCAGAAGATCAGACCACGTCAAGAAGATCCCCGGCCTGGACTCACTGGTGTGCGAATCGGCAACCGAGCTCACCATCATGGCAGGGGACGGCAAGAAGAAGCTCCCCTCCTACATCAGGAGCGATCCGACGGCCGTGTTTCCACGCGTCTCGTCGGTGGTCGTGTCGCAACAGGGGTCCGGCGAGGACTTCTATGAGTGTGGGGCGGGGGATGTGCTGCATGCCCTCTCTCCCTCTCTGCATAAGGCGTATTTCGAGTTTTCCGTTCGTGCTGAGCCTGAGGCTACGTGCACTCTGGTGCCTGATGGCCTGGGGTTCATGTCGAGCGAAGGCAAGGAGGTAGAGGTGCAGCTGAAGTTTCACATATACATGGTTCACCCCATCCGTCGCTACTACTGGCACGCACAGCACCACAATACAGAAGAGCAGAGAGAGCCGTCTGTCGAGTGGCAACTGTACGGTGACAGCGAGGCAGGCCAGGAGTTCATGGAGAGCGGCCGTGTGTCGTCCCTCAATGTGCACATCGAGGGGGAGCTGCGCGTCCAGGAAGCACGCAAAATGCACAGTTCCTTCGTTGGGTGTGTGGTCGAGGCCTTTTCCAGCTTCCCTGCCCTCAAGTGTGTTGTGCTGCGTGTGGACAAGCCGCCCCTTTTCGGGCCTCGCTTTGATCTGGCTGGCGAGCTGAGGAAGGCAGGCAAGAAGCGGCTGCGCGTGACAGAGAGGACAGATGGCACTGTGGTGCTGCGGCCAAGCCAGACCAGAAGG